CAATTGTAGTATCAGGCTGCAACATAACAAAATTGAAAAAAGTGAAGGGGGTCTGAATACTTTCTGAATGCACTGTATATGTAACTCATCACCAATGGTGCCAATAAGTCAAAGGAACTATTATTTCTACTTAAGTGTTTACCTGGCCTGACTGTACTTTGCATGCAGTTTTGGGAAACCATAGTCGGGTGGACCGATGTGGATGCTCTGTTGCTGAGGTCCATGACAGATGGTGTTGCTGAGGTAGGCTGCTGAAGAGAAGGTTGATGAGGGCTGTGGTCGTGCTGGGCTGGACTGGGCGGAATGCCATTCTCTGAGAGAAATTCTTCCAGGTCCATGTATTCCAACTGGAAAGTGTCACCATCATAGGGAAGTGTCTTGTCCCATAATGTAGGCCCCAGAAAAGCAGACTGTGGGACAGTGGCACTGGTACTGTCGTCATCCAGTTTTTTGTCTTTGTCTTTTTCTTTATAAAATGCTAGAAAGGGAAGGGGAAGGCAAGGAAATGTGAGGATTTTTACAGAGACATTGTTCAGCTACTTTCTTGCTAGGAAGAAAAGAAAAAAAGAATCCTTTTGTAGTTATTCTCTGTTTGGGGCTCTATGTTTGGAACAGAATTAAAGTGTCTCTGGATACATTTTTCAGCTCATTAAGCTCATGTATGCTTTCCACCTCGGTTTTTAATTTGCAATTCATCTGCATTCTTGGCTTCAAGCAATTGCAAGCTTCAAACAACAACACTCCAAGATTTCATCAGAGCATTCCTATCACCAGAATGGAGAACTGAAGAAATTGTTCAAATGGATACAGTGGAATGTGAGGTTTGCCTGATCAGGTCCTACTGAATGAAATCACCCATAATGGTAGGGTTTACATATCTATGCTAAGCCATAGTTTGTTAAACATGGTTTGATTTAAGCCATCACTAACTGGATTTGCACAACAGTCAGCCATCAGAGTTTACAAACTACAGTAGCTGTGTCTGTATACATTACACTGAACCCAAATCATAAAAAGCAGCTATGGCTTTGTGTAATGTATGTAACCAGTTACTGTTGCAACTAGGCTTAAGAAGAACAGAACACACATTATGTTTTTAATGCATTGTAAGCTGCTTCAAATCAATTTTGAAGGGCAACATACCAGATTTTAAATATAAATAAATAACCTGAAAAAAACTACACCCTGACTTTTTCATTTAAAAGTCTGTAAAAAACCCAATTACCTAGGCCAACATTCATGCTAGTTAGGAATTCTGGAAGTGCCATCTTACAAAGTAGCCTAATTTAGTCCAATCTTCATCATTTGCTGCTTAGAAACTGAATCCAAATTCATTATGAGGAGCTATAAAACAAGCCAAATACTACACAGGGAAGCTACAACTGCATTTCTCAAGATTGGTTAAAAATAAGTTTATTTTATTAGAGAGGCAATAGAGAGGCTGGAGGTATTAAACCCCCTTTTTGCTCCTTCCTGCATCAATTTCAAGATCCATATCTTCCCTTTCTTCTACCCCTATGCCTGGTATTTTTTTTTTTTTTTTGAAATGCACACCTGTTTGAAGCCAAGAATAAGAACTTTTTGTCCAATGTGTAGGAAATTACAAAATTAACTGTAATCCCCCCCCCCGCCCTTGGTGGAGAGATTTTTCTTACAGCAAAATAGCAATAAAATGGTAATTATGGATCTTTGTGCAACTTATAGCTTGTTCCTTCCTATCCATTGGATTTAGACTCATTATGCTAGGAAACAGCAACTGGCAGCCACTTTCTAAATTTCTTTCATGCATTTCTCAACAACCGGTGATCCTGTTTAAATACATTGCATTTGAACATTTACCATCCACAGATCTTTCAGCACTGGAAATATTTTGGAGTTGCTATCATGATCTAAAGGGTTTTTATCCTGAAAACTTTCTTTTCAGAATGACACATTACATCAAAGAACATAATTAATCTTGATATTCTATTTTTGTGTATGGTTTTCTATGGAAAAAAGTGTGATTTGGTTCATAGTAAACAAGAGTTAGATCAGTCTAAACTACACTTATAGTATTAAGGTATAGTTGATAGAGAAGATTACCTAGAAAATCATAGGGAATTTTTGAGTGCTGTACAATCCTTAGCTATTACTGGCCTTAACTGCATTGGATTTTAATGGTTTGAGGACTTCAACTTTGTTAAAAATAATTCAAAGTTTAGATTTTACTCTTCTTAAAACTTCAACCAGAGGTTGAATTAGGTGGTACTAAGTACACCTTTGGGGGGGGGGGAACATGTTGCAAATTCTGATTTCAGGAATGTGGTAAAATTTCTGATTTACTTATGTGCATATCTGGAAGTATAGCCGAAACAACTCTCCAGATTTAAAAAAAAAATCTAATACAGGCTTCAGGTGGTCTATGTGTATTGTGTGTGGGGAGGGGAGCTGTGTGTACACATTTATGGATAAATCTGTGCCCCGTGTAATGCAGAGAAAATGAGTATGGGGAGGGCCTACAATTCCAGGCACACAGTTTCTTCAAAATAATCTCCACAGAAATCAAATGCTATGACATAAAACAAGAGCAAGAGTTGATAGATGCTTAAAACCAATGCTGCAATCCCATGCCAATTTACCTGAGAGTAAACCCCACTAAAAAGGGGGATTTACTTCTAAGTCAACCTCCACAGGACTGCACAGTACAGCACTCTGATGTGGACTCTCTGTTTTATGTCTTCTTGGTAAATCTCATCCCGAGGTACCTTACCCAAAAGAGCAGATCCGATTTACCACAGAACCCGCCAACCAATATAAACTGTACAGTTAAAGTATAGTTACTTTAACTATACACCATAAACAAACTATGCATACTAATTTTGGAGTACAGTAAATAGTAGCAAGCTATACAGCTATTTCAGATATACTTACTTGAGGGTAAGCCCAGGGTATTGAGTAGGACTTACCTCCGCCTAACATACAGAGGCAAAAGCGGCAGAATTAGAAGGAATCGTTGTTACCTCTCGGGTAATCCTACGCGTGCTTACATGGAAGTCAATCCCACTGGATTCAGTAGAACCAATTCCCACGTAGCTAAGATCGCACTGCAGCCTCCGCAAGCCGAGACCAAACGCGCGCTTACGGTCGCGCGACTTCCCCGCGTCCCGCCTCGACGCGCAACCCTATTCCGAAGCAGCGCTAGGATAGACGCGCGCGCCTGTCCGCACAGCTCAGTCGCTGCTTTCGGTAAAACTCGCGCGCGGCTAAAGCAGACCGCAGAGGACATAAGCCGGAGAGGGGGTGGGGGGTGGGGGGATAGGGAAACCCACTGCCACGTTCCTCGTTCCCTTGCCCCCCTCCATCTCTCTCACCATCTTCGTGATGCAGCGGCAGCTTGAGCGGGTTTTCCAGCAGGGATTTCAGCACCCCGTAAGTTGGAGGTAGGAAAGCTGGGTTCAAAGGAAGAGGTCGAGCCATACCTCTTTCGCCCCTTCACCCTGCCAATTTTGTTAAACTAGCAGAGGAGGAGGAGGGAGGATGGAGAGAAAAATCCCAATCAATCTTCCGTTTGGAAAAGAGCGCTCTCTTCCTGGGGTGAAGGGATAGCTGGCTCCAGACGACCTCGTTCCGAGCGAATCGGGGCGTCCCTGGATGTCTTTTTGCATTAATAACAGCAGGGCTACTAGACCGAGGAGTTTTGTTTTTGTTTTTTTTAATTTAAAAAAAAAGGGAAGAAAGAAAAAAAAAGAGGCAACCCTACCGGCCAGACAGCCAAGCAGCGCTTTCTAGCTCCCTCGCTCCTCCCAGACCTAAGAGCTGGCTGGGGCCACCTGCGCCGCTCTCAGAACATTTGCACACCCATGTGCGGACTCGGATCAGAATGACGTCAAAGCTAGCGCAGCTCCCCGGTAGGCGGGCAAGGGCGGAGCTCGCGAGCTCTGGGCCCTCAAAATTAAATGTTGGGTTTCCGTTGCTGCCTTGGGTGCTTTTCGTTCCACTGCCTCCGCTCGCTCTCCCCGGTTCTGGAGTTCGCTCTAAAGGTGGCTCTGGGCTGAGGAGGAGCGTTCAGGAGAGGCCTCCGTGTTTCGCAGTGTGGAAATTCTGTGTGGAACAAGAGAATAAAAAATTCTTTTTTTAATCTATAAACAAAAATAAAATGAAAATAAAGTCCGTGATGGCTTTCAAACCAACTTTTTAATTATTATTATTAATTTAAAATGTTTTGCTACCACTCAGATTTCAGGGTGGGACCCATTTATGGAAACACAACAAATTTAAAGGCTGCAGCCAAAATCTTAGCCAAATTTCATCCATTCAAACAATCCTTTGTACTTAAAAGCCAGGGTAAATGTTTAAACATGAATTTGCTGACCACCCAGGAGATAGCAGGGCCAGGGAATTCTCTGGAGAGGACACTCTGTTCTCCTCCTAATACAGAGGCTGCACTCACTGAAAATGTGGTTCATTCGCGTATTTCTCTGGGATCATACAAGAACTCGCTAAGTTGCAGCACTTGGCTGCTCTGGAAGAGTTAAGCAGGATCACTGGCCTGATTAATATGGCTGTGTAGGGCTTCAGTTTTGATCTCTAAAGGTGCTTTGGAGAGCAGAGAGTTGCACCCATAACACCTGTGTGCAACACCTACTTGGATGGGAGACCACCAGGAAATCCCAAGGCTTTGTGGTAGACTGGGAAATTAAAAAAAAAAACATCCTGGAAAAAGGCAATTGCAAACTTCTTCCATATCCTGCCAAGGAAACTATATAGAGGCATTCGTGAAGTCACCAAGGATTGAGGTTGATTTTATCTTGTACAAACCCAACCAGTGTGGTTAGTTGCAGTTCCATGAGGGATGCAACTCCAGAGTTCCCTGAGTAAGCCATAATTCTGTTAACCATGGGTTAATGTCCTCTGCCAATTCAACCAGTAAAAACCCATTGAGAGCCTAAACGTTGAGCAGGTGCCAGAAGGCTTTCCTTTAGTTATTTCCTTCTGAGTTATTTTGGACTTGAAAGGACAGAACCAGCCCTCTGAACTGGAGTTGAAGACTTTTTAAAATTGGTGCCATGTGTGTGAAGCAGCCAGGGACACCATGGTCATTATTTATTAACTGAGGCTTCCAAAACCTCAGTAAAGGACAAGGCCTAGCTTACTTTGCGTTCAAGAAGCAGCAGCAGCATCTGTTCTTCATTGTGGGGAACTGTGATTTTTACATAGGTGTTTTTACCGCAGCATGTTAACCTGGGAGTTTTAATGAGGCAACTTAAAAACAAAAAAACCCCTGCTCTTGCAGTTAAGAGCAGCAGTGCAGTAGTGTTTCCTCTGGGGTTGACTGCTTCTGGAGGCAGCTCAGAGTCCTGGAACTTTTTTCCCAACTCTCAGGGAGGCTTGTCAGCCGTTAGTTTCTATACCTGCTCACGGGGTATTTGTGCTTCAGGGCTGGTATCAAATACTCAGTGAAATAAACTAAGGGCAAGAAGAGGGCTTGGTGTTTTATTTTGCTGACCCCACTCTCCAGCTGAGAGCAACCTGCTTAGTCTTGCTCCTGCCTAGCCTTCCATCAAAACCAGCTTCCACCTGACTTCCCTGCCAAAGCGCTTGCCTCTCCATTCACTGATCAGGTATTTCCTAAACTCACAAAAAGCTAAGAGGGGCAGAATTCAAGAAGCCAACGTGTGGGTTGAATCATTCTGGTCAGATGTGCCCAAAAAGCTAGTAAACATTTAGCTTTCACCATACTCCAACCACCATGGGGCAGTTTCGTGAGATCCTACTGTCAGATTCACATTGAGGCTTCCCCAAATCTGCTTCATTCTACTCATATTCCATCACAATCTGCAACACTCTATCCTGGCTCCATCCCTAAGGAAAACTTCAAGCGTCCGATCATCCAGTACGTTTACAAAGTCTTTCCTAGCTCTCCAGATGGGCTGGGACTACATTCTCCCAAATCCAACTTAGCATGGCCTTCAGCCAAGTTTTTTTTAACACACAAGGAGCCAAAAAGCCCCTGTGCAGAGGCTGAACGTGGACTGGAACTCCAGTAAAACAGTGTGGATTATGGGGCATGTTTTTGTTTCATGAACAGAGCCACTCTGGCTGGGATCAGTAGTCCAACCGGCCCAATCTGTCCTTTGAATTGTACACTGGTCCACAATAACTGTCTATCCTACTCACATGGGCCAGATTTACACATTATACATGCTTTGTGTTTACCATGGATTGTGGAATAAACCACAGTAGTGGTTTCCCATAGTAAACCATAGTTTCCAGACAGTGCTTAAATTACACAATAAAATCCTAGAACTGTAAATGGCCTAAAACATGGATTTGGGGAACTGCAGTGATGACACGTGTCGGGACATCATCTCCTAAATGACAATAATAATGCATTGAATGTAATTTGCATCACGATGTGACTCATGCATATTACATAATTTGCATCTTTTCTTGCAGTGATATTACAATGCTTCATGGCCTCAACTGGGAGCCTGTGACCTGAGTGGTCAGTGAGAATAACCTGTTGCTCAGAATCCAAATTAAAACATTCTTAACAAGGGGCTGCCTAGCCTTTGCTTTAGTACAGTGTTTTTTCAAACTTAGCAACTTTAAGATGTATAGACTTCAACTCCCAGAATTCCCCAGCCAGCATGCTGGCTGGGGTATTCTAGAAGTTGAAGTCCACACATCTTAAAGTTGCCAAGTTTGAAAAAACACTGCTTTAGTACATTCAGAGACAAGATCCCACCTTCCCTTGGCTTAACTGGTTCCATAGGCATCCACAGGAGGGGACGAAGGGGAGCAAATGACAAGACATGCATTGCAAGGTAGAGGTGCAAACAGCATGACTTCTACATCCATGTCCATCATTTGGATGCAAGTATGAAAGGTAGGTTTTTGATCAAGACATCACAAGACACATTTCATCACCTGTGCCTCATGAGAGTTTACACTGGACACCATGATCAGTTTCACAATATACTAAATCAAATTCAAACAGGCCACATGATGGATTAGTATAGTGAGCCCAAGGATTGGGATAAAGGGAGGAGAACAAAATGACAGCTAGTCCTAGGACAGTGCAAACATTACCCGAATACAGTGAGTAGACCATGTAGTACTCTCAGACTGGCTAGTACCTCCCTCCTTCATTCTGATCATAGCTATGCATCACCCTGACAACCCCTTGTGTGTGCACTAAGTGCTATGGCCCCTCACAGGTTTCCAGAGACTCTATATACAGTATTGGGTTCATACCTCCACAGCTTAGGGTTAACCATAGTGTGGTTTGTTTGCATTTGCTTTAGGACACCCATCATCCTCAGGTATGAATCAGACCCTACATGTTAGTCAACAAACCATGTTTGGGGAAAAAAAGCCTGACTTCAGTGTAATGTGTAATCCAGCCAATGTTAGCGTGGCAGAAGCTGTTCTAGGACAGGCCACCTGATGTCTCAGCCACGGCATCATTTTGCTTGGTGCTTTCATTTCATGGACAGTACAGGAAAAGTGTGCAATACTGTGGCTGTCAGATAGCAGGAGAATTTCCAAGGGTGCTGGGGGAACGTTTGCACTGTTGCTACGTTAGCTCTGTAGCTACAACAGAGCTCTATAGCATCTTCTGAGATGCTAGGCATGCAGAATATCACATTGGCATTATCCTAATGTTAAATCTGGCTTATCTACCTATGCAGTGCGATCATAGGTTCAACCTGCTAAATATGCTGACAGCATTGGTCCTTTCCCTTCTTCCACTGCAGCCTGACACAACTACTTCTCTGCATTATCTTTATGCGCTTCTAAGATCTTCAAAAATCTCCTGGTAAAAAGAAATTTACAGATATTTTTTAAGTGGATGAAACCATTAGCATTTGCTCTACCTTTTGTCATTCATATTAAAATGCATGAAATCACTAACATTTTGTCCCTCTTTAAGAAAATAAGTAAACTAGAATTCTCTGTATGTTCCAGTTCTTGGAAAATCACAGGTTTAGTGTTTTTCAAAGCACTGAGATATACAGAGAAAAATAATCTACTCCACAGAAAACTAATGTCCTAATAGACTCTGTGCAAAATAATATTTAAGAAGCTATTGGTGAGCCTTGAGCAGAAGTACATGATGGATTAATTGGAAAAGTGGAATATGACAAGGGCATGGTGAGTTCCAAATCTCCTGCCCAAGGAATAACCATGAGAATAAATATTGTTCGTAGGGAGGAAGGAATAGCCACTGGAACACAACCATCGTGTATGAAAAAACCAAACCAAATTGCTGGTTATTGGACACCAGGTTACATAAACCTGGGGAGATCACTGATAGGAGTAAGGGTAATATCTGGCATAGGTTGTCTGTGGATCAGGTGATGCATAATGCATTTGTTTGATATGTGCTTAAATAAATATGGGCAGAAATCTTAATGAGCATTAAGGCTAAGAGCGAAAGAAAATAAACAGAAATATAATACCTGGGATGAATAGAGAATCTGAGAAATACTGATAAACAATATTAATCTGTGATTAGGATTAGAAAAAGGAAACCTTGAGAAGGAAGGAAGGAAGGGCAGGACAGCTGTACTTTCCTCAGTATGCTTTCCAGCACAAAGCAAAACACATAGCAGAATATGAATATGTGGAATGTGATATGTTGCTAAACAGGAAAAGTAGGCAGACTTTTGTCCTTGATTGACTGTGAAACCAACTCTTGGTTGTGATAGACAAGGCAAGTCTAAATACCAGATATTCCAGCATCAAAATGGGCCAGGATAAATGAATTCCCCACTGGGACTGTAATGTAAGTTTCCATGTTATGTTCTTACCTGTGAATTCCAGACGTGATAAAAAATTACATGTCGGCTGATGTG